TCCAAGTAGTTTAGGTCCGAGGAGACACTGTCACAGGGTGCTCGCGCGGCGAGCGTGACATCGCGTTTACCTCCATTCGCAAATTTGTCTCTTCAACTATTTAGGTCTTAGGACGGTTTCATGTAAATCTCCGAGTTGTGCCGCAAACGAAATAACCGTGTCACAGATACGAGATTTCCCTCATGAACAGCGTTTCAGAGGCACTTTATCGTCACTGGGATTCGCGTTGCCCGATGTAGCAAAGATGGGGCAATCAACGCGTCGTTTGATATCGTCGTCAGTTTTCGCCGTCTGCTCTGGAGACGCGACAGCGGAACGAATCTAAATAATCCATTTGACGGTAACGTGGAGTCATTTTCAACGTGACCTGAGAACGAGCGTTTCCGACTAGAAATTACCCCGTTAGCCCGATCAGGTTGATCCTAATAAACTCTCAGATTTGTATAATATGATGTCATCGAGTTCTAGTAAATCCTGTAACGTAGAGTGCTAATCGAGACTTCATTAAGGATCAATTTATCATCAGATCCTTGTCAGATCCTCGTCAAGACTTCAGCAAATTCTCACACAGAAAGATTGCACAAGATTTTGAGAAATAAAAACCCCGATCGTTTTGTTTAACAATTTTTTAAAAAGTCTTACATAACGTATGGTCTTTTCTACATCGTATATCTCACCCGCACAATTCCCCATTCAAATACTCCACTGTCCAGTTAGATTCTTGTATATCAGGAGTGCTTGACAAATTTTTAATCGGTATTGCATTGCGTTTAAAAGCGACAAAACCTTTCGTCGGTTATAATGTTCGGTAGGACAAAAATTGACGGTGAGCTGCGGCTGCTTGGACACATTAAACTTGCTTTTGGACCATCCTTCTCTTTTTCCCCTCTCTTTCTTTATCTCTCTTTTCCTTCCTCTTTCTCTCTCTCTCTCTCTCTCTCTCTCTCTTACACACATACGCACACACGCATACACAAAATTGACTTTCTGACGAACGAATGTTCTATATGTGATGGGACCCTTGGGCGTTTCTCTTCGAAGAAGGTTCTTTAACCGTTTAACACCTCGCGCGACAAACCGCAACCGTTAATTCCGCGACTGCTTCGTGCAACTCTCTCCGAACTTTATTAAAGCCAATTAAACCGACAAGAAACTTAGAAGCGTACAGTCGTGCCGACGGTGTATACTATACGTAAATACAAACTCACAATTTGTCACCACGGCGTACCTAATCTCGCCGGACATCCGTCGTAAATTCGCTGCTCGAATGATGCGCAAAGTCGTTCGGTACTCGCGAAACTTTGTTAAGGATATATGGGTCATTTACTTAATTCCGGCATCACACAGCGCGCGTGACTTGACAGGAGCTCAAAGAGCAAATATTCTTATTGCTCTTACTGCACGATCGAAAAGTAGTTATATATTCGCGCGAGGTTTATGTAAAATGTTGTTATATAAAGTATTGAAGGATGTAAAAAATGAAGGGAGAAATAAGCGACTCATGAACGATATGCAGTATTAATTACACTGAAAGAAAAATTTCGTGATAAGTATCAAAAATTCATAGTTGTTGATAAGTCATTTAAGTAAATAGTACGAATCTAATGTACTGTGCTAATTAGGAAATAATATCATTATATAAAGTAAATATATAATTCTCTCAGAATCAAGATTTAATTGCTTGAGCTATACACCTTTAGGTCATCGAATTAAATTTTGGTAATTTGTGGCAAATCGTGATAACAAAAAATGAGATATTTGCTAATTATTGCTAAGCTTATGATTAAAAAGGAAAATTGTTTTGTAATTTTTCAAAAAATTTTATCGCTTTATTTAAGTTATTTTAGAAAATCAAACGTTTTATTTTTAATACTAGCTCTTTTTCACTTCATACGTGAAGTTCTTTTTTGTGGTTTCTTTTGACTCCATCGTGGTTATTCGATCTTTCTTCTAAAGTGCGCTTACTTTTACTTGACATTAATGAGCGAAAAGGATTAGTGAAGGTCCTCAAACTTATGATATCTTTATAGATATCTTATGATATTCTTATGGCTTATACTTGTGACATGTTCTTATAGCATTTAACAAATGTGATAATGTTATACTAGTAAATATTAGAAACAACGCAATAACAATAAGTCGATATACGACGGATATAGATAAGTGATAGATATCAAATTTCTTGACAAAATATTAAAAAAGAAAAAAGTTATAGTTTTGTATTTAAGCTTTCACGCGCGCGACAGAAGTGTTTTACTAGAGTTGTTGTTTTTTAAACATTTAAAAAAACAAAAGACAAACATGTTTTAAATAGTACATACATTTAAACACATGTTTTTTTAAAGATGTTTTAAACATATTTTAATGTTTAAAGAATATTTTTTGAAGAAGTATTTAATACAAATTTTGAATGAACAATTAATAATAATATTAATAATTTATTGATCGCGATCGCGTTGCACATGAACATCATTCCGTTTAACATCCAGTGAGAAACAAAGATAGAATGACGCTTACGTCGATGCGGTCATCAAATGTAACTTATCAATACTAACCTAAGAACGATATGAAAGAATTCGTTTATATTTTATACACTGGAATCCGAAATTTCCGATTTTGTACCGACGTCATTCCTTCGAAAATCACCGCCAACTAGTCTTAAGAGTAAAGTATCTTTTGTATTTGAGTGGTACAAATTAATGCGCGTCTCTGCTGTAAAATATCGTTAAAGTCAACTGTTATGATGTTTGAACCAAGCTATGAGGGAAAAGTGCCCTTAAATAATCGCAAATCGTCCGATGCTTCACGATAACGCCAGGCCGCATGTTGCTGTTGCGACTAAAGAGACTCGTTTGAGTTAGATTGGAAAGTCCTGCCGCACCCAGGCATCGCCCCGTCTGATTTTCATCTATTCAGATCGATGCAGCACGGTCTACTTGATACATGGTTCCGAAATGCTGAGGGAGTGCAAAAATGGGTCGATGAATGGATTGCCTCAAAAGATGAGTCATTTTATCGACACAGAATCAAACTATTGCACGAAAGATGACAAAACGTTATTGACAGCCAATACTTAAGGTTAAAATATTCTCATCTTGATGTTATTAATAAATAAAAATGAATTTAATATCATACAAACTTTTGCAAGTACGTAATATTATCGAGAATATCGACTTTACTTATGTAAGTTCGTACGCAATTAGAAATTGTAAGGTACAAAATTGGGAAAGAAATAGACCGTTATTCTTCCATTGACCTCGTTTGGTTGACGAACGTTAGTGCTTTCGTACGAGCGAAATACCGCGCCTGTTATTGATTCAATGAAAATGAAAATTTAATTATTACTGTATGAGCATAGTCTTATAAAAATAAGTAGATGTATTAAAACACTGATTTATTATCGATCCATCAGAGTAAAGCTTAAATTTGATAACAGCGCATTAACTTCACGTACTTGCTCTCGCTATGAAGGCGCGCTAACACTTTAAGAATCTGTTAACAAAAGCTATATATTAACGAAATTTAAAATATGACCATATACATATAATCTAAAAGTACATCTGTTAACAAAAGCTATATATTAACGAAATTTAAAAAATGACTATATACATATAATCTAAAAGATTGTAAAAAAACCAAAAGTCAGAAAGCCAACTTGTTAAGTCATCTTTATATAATTAGAAAATAAAATTTCAAACTTTGTCTCATACGAAGCCAATGAAGGGTTTAAAAAAAAGTTAATGTCATACGACGAATTTGTACGTTAATGGACGTTAATGGACGTAAGTGAAATTAATAACTCGCTCTTTTGTGAAACAATATTTTAAATTGAGTGGTCAATAAAAAAGACAAATCGGACGGCTACGTATCGAGAATAAAAAGGGGGTCTCCATGAAAAGGCAGCGATGTCTATTTAATAAATTTTTACGAGAATCGTGATAGAGAAATCAATAAAGAATTTGCAGGAAAATGGAGCAGCTGAACAAAAAGAGAATAAGCGATCTCGCGTTACAGAATGGAGATTTTAGAATAAAAGCGCACCATTGTATCGCGATGCAGTAGCGCGAGTCATACATGGTCGTCGAAAACTCGAAACTCTATTCGTAATAGGAGCGCAATTCACGAGACAGACACGTATAAGATTTCGCTTGGATTGCGATTTCTACTCCACGGAGCGAAAGGCCTCGGCGAGTTGTATGAATGAACGGCTCCTACTCGAGCCATAAATTTAGCGTCGGATATATCTATCTTGTTTTCATCTCTCACGTTAACTCCGACTATAATCGCCGCGCGATATTCTTGTCTTCTCTCTCGACGAGCTAATATTCGCCGCTACCTCGTGTCAACCCGTGAATAAACCATCCAGCTCGCCTCCTCTTTCGACCAGGAGCGTTTCATAAATAATGTTCCGGACTCAGGAAGACGCGTTAAGGACATCGTAGTACGATCTCCAGTCCGTTGGTTGACCGGACGTACCATTCATCCGCCTAAATATTCGACCTAGCCGTCCCCGGCGCAAAAGTCACCGCCGGCGTTCTCCTCCGGGTCAACGGCGTGCGAGGCATAGGATACGCGATGAGGAAGCGCGCGCACGGCGAACACATGCGACACAGGAAATAAAGAATGCGATAAAAGAACGCGATAGAGGACTGGCAAAGTCCGGGGGAAAGCAACGTAAAGGAGCAGGAAGAGGGATGACGAAGAATAAGACCGAAGTACAGCATTGCTCGGTATAGCACGGGCTGGCTGAAACGGCGGTATGACGCCTCGGACGAGGAGCGGCCGCGGGAGCGGGGGTGCGAGCATTCGCGCGAGGGTTTTGGGCAAGGGGATGGAGAGGGGGTAGAGGGAGAGGAACCGAGAGAGGGGAGGATTTTGCGAGAAGCGTGGCGCGGAGGGTCGGGGTGGCGCCGCGGGCCGCGCCGTCGCCCAGCATCCCTCGTTTCCACCCGCCACCCTCGTGAAGGCGCACCCTCACGCCGAGAGTATCTGGTAGTCATACGCTGGCCCGTTGCGAGCCCGCTGTTGTAACTGAACTGCTCTCGCTCCCTGCGAGTTGCACGTCCACGTTATACAAGTTGCTGCACGGTGACGACCGCGTGTTACGACCACGGTTACGAATGCGTTCGCGCGCAGGAAGCGTCGCAAGGTGCGTCGCGTTTCTCGTGGTCCCTGACACGTGCATGATCAGTGCTCTGTTCTGTTCAGTGACCACCGTGGAGCGGTGAAAGGCGCGAAAAGTGCAGCGAGTGATCACTGACGGCTATCGCCGCGGCTTTGAGGCTGCTCGAACGCGACTCTCGGTACCGCGCTCGAGGTGAGACCGCGTCTCTCAGGGGAACTTCCGCGTTGCGACGGCACATCCGGCGGAGTTTGCTCACATGGTCTGTGTTTTGTTTCCGTAACCACCTTGCCGCACCTACGTGGCTCCCTCTCAACTGTTTCCGCTTACGGCGACGAGCTGCCATCGCGTCGGAAGCGCGCGTTTCAACGACCTCGTGCTGCGAGAGGCCAGCGTGCTCGTTTATCGTCGCGACGGAAAGACGCGGCCAGACCGGTTTCCGTTGACGCACGGAATGCTCGGTCGACGACGCTGCTGGTGCTTTCAGTGAGATGTGCATTGCTGCAACTGTAAGATCATCAACGCGATCCCCGAACCATTGATCGGCTACGTGGCGTGATCAGCAGTGGCGGCGACGCGTTAACGTTTGGTATCTCGCGCGCGACCCGCCTTATTGGGTGTGAAAATGTGTGATTGACATTATCCTGAATGGGCAGACCGTTGTGATATCGGCGCTTGCTTCGGATCGCGTCCTTCGTCACTCTTGCTTTCCTTGTCTCTTTTTCTGCCTCTCCACCCCTCTCTCTCTCTCTCTCTCTCTCTCTCTCTCTCTTTCTCTCTCTCGCTGTTTCCTCTCGTTCGTCTTCTCACTCGGTGCTTTGGCGGCGGAGCGGAATATCTGTGGACGAAAGTGCAACGTCATTGAAGGCGTTAAGCTGACGTCGCAACCGACAACGTCCGCCGCTACGTCTAGACGCGTAAAGTACATTTAACGGTCCCGTGACTGCTTACGACGCGTTCTATCCCGTACAAGGAGAAGAGCACGAAGGAGCAAAGACGCACGATAGATTCTAGGATTTTTAACGTGTATCACAGTTTCACCGCGAGACCGTTCGAGAGCCTAGACGAACGACCGAGCGGAAGATGGATACATTCCTGATTCTCGGTATCTTCTTCCTGTGCTATGAGATGTGCGAGCTAATCAGGCGCTATTCCGCTCCGCAGGTGATAGAGACGCATCGCGCGCCGGACAAGTCCACGGCGTCGCCTTCGCAGAAAGTGTACTCGATCTCGCGCAAGATTCAAGGCCCTCCCGCCTGTTGCCCGCAATAGATCGCGTGTATGATCTCGCGAGTGTCTTTGCACTTGGAATCCATGTAATATATGTTGTTATTTCACGCCGGCGGGACGAGCCGTTTTGTATGAGCCACGGCGAACGAGCCAGATCTTCAGCGAATCTCAAATGGACACAGAACTCGACGCTAGCCAAGCGGGCGCAAATGGATGGCTATACGATATGGATTTACAGTTGTCTACAGTGATAACAGACAGCCGTCTCGGAGATTCATGATGTTTACGGAGGTCCGAGGCGCAACGGCAGGATCGATAATGATTTACCAGCCGTGTTGCTTTGCTCCAGCCCAGGATATAGACCGACCAATCGACTTGATCCGAGATTATGAATTCGCGTACGCGGCGCAACCGGAAACAACGGCTCGCCCAATATAGAGACGTTATTTTATTTACAAGCGCGTCCCTCCGAAACGACGCGAAGCGAGATGAATTAATAAGGAGACGAGGATGAATCGTCAATTCCTCTGGCAATCTCGCTCGTGGACACTCGAGTGACAGGTCTCGTGAACTCTCAAGTCCAAGTCATCCAAGTCGAAACACAGTCGTAATCGCTCGATCTGTCTCTACCAGCATGCAATTATTGGCAATGTACGACTGCTCGATTTGTCTGCCGGCGAGTTTACGAAATTAGTGGGCGCGTCATTGCACGTAGCGCAACATGGAAAGTCTAGGAAACGTGTGTCGTCGTCGTGACGCTTTTGAGTCCCGCTAAGTGATATTGATTGAGACATCGTGGTTGGTAGCTTGCTACCAGCGAGGGGAGAGCAAACTCGCCTGACGAACTCTTCGCTACGCGCCGATGAATGCAAACTCGAGTGGCGAACATCGATGCGGTCGCAGGAAGTCGCGACGTATAAACAAGAAGTAAAGTTTCTTTTGTGCACGTCAGCTAAACCGGCATTATCGCGAGATAGTACTACGTCGTTTCCCGAGCCATATAACACAAATCTCCCCCTCTCTCTCTCTCTCTCACTCTCTCATTCTATCTCTCTCTTTCTCTCCCTTCTTCTCTCTTTCTTTCTTTGTCTCTCTTTTTCTCTCTGTCTCTCTTTCTTTCTCACACACACATTCTGTCACATTCTCTCACTCTCTTTCCCGTGTGAGCGCATTCGCGTCTACAATCCACAGGGAGAAGGGGAGTGGAGCAGCGTCGTTTAACGTGATTGTGTGTATGTTCACTGCCCGTAATTCAATCTTGACGTCCATGGCTGCCGAAAAGTTTCCATAGATAGACTTGCAATTCCTCGCGGTCGATATCGCGAGAGACTACACCGTCGTCGTCGTCGTCGTCGCCTTGACGCGAGTACCTGTGTCTCATAGTGATCCGGAGAGAATATCTAAAAGTGTTAATAAAGGAAGTGAGAAACTGGGACAGCTTTGTGTTTTGCAGTTGCTAGCGAAGGTTCGGCTGACCTTTAACGACAGCGACGTTATTAATAAATACGATATTCTTCTAATATCACACACTTTGTGTCATCGGCGGGATGTTCTCTTGCTGCTGAATTGGCACTTGCATTTCTCCTAGCCGTGTGTTCAGCTCAAAAATCGAGAATGACGAGAATATCGTAAATTAAATCGTCGCGACGTGTCCTCCGCCATCGTATATAATGCGATTCTCGCTGCGTACATCAAGCCGCTCTTCGACTAACACTGCGAGGACGTTCTCTGATCGACCACGGTAGGAATCTCGCGCGTTGAAAAATCCTGCGCGAGCTGTCAATGGCCGACAATCCCTTCGTCAGTCCGACATAGGAGCAGAACTGTGATTAATGTTCGACCTTAGCTCGCCCCTTGAAAGTTCGGCATTGGAACGTCGCAACCCTGTTTTCACCAGCCCTTCTCACTCGATACCCCGAGAAAAATCGAAACGGAAAGTTGCCGAAGATCAGGAGAAGACATGGACTCGCTGGAGCGTCTAATGAGCGTCGGTTCTCATCATCCGACTCTCGCGGCAGCCACGCGGTCGCAGAACGCCTTTGTACAGGCCAACCTCTGCTCTGTGATAGGCCGCAAAGGCCGGCATCTCACCGGCACCTTTTGTTTAACCGGGGACACGATGGAAGGCATCATACAATGCCTAGTCTTCCTCAAAGCATTCTCGGTAAGAGATCCATTTTCCTCTCTCCTTGCCCGCGCGAGCCCTCGGTTTAATCTTTAAGTGATAAAACGATACCTTGAGGGATCTTCATTCTTCCAATACTTCGCCACTCTCGTGATTTATGTCGGGATATCGGAATAGCATTATCCGGCGCGACGAATAAACAACGTTTCTACGCTCACGAATGTACCGTGTTTACGTCGGATTGCTCCTCGTGATAAAAAAACGTACCATCAAAGATATATTGTACGTGTAATCCCTAGAGAAATTTACACACTGAAATTAAAAATATGTTGGATAAAATAGAGAAAAGCCAATGTGAAACCAATATCAGTACAGATATGAGTGTAAAATTTAAACTTTTATCTCGGAAAGATAATAATGTGCTAACGATATCAAACGCAACGCCGAAGAATTTTTCGTATTTTTCGCAATACTTGAGTAAGAATTTAAAAGTGCTTATCATTTAATTAAATAGGAGAAGGGGATAAGGGATAAAAAGGATAATATTAGTATTAATCGAAATTAAAATTGGTTGGTTTTAGCGTGAAAGTTGGATTTTCCGCATACGTTGCGAATTCGAAAAATTCTTTTGCATATGCGCTTCATACTATTAGAACATTATTATCATCCGGAAATGAAAATTTTAATTTCATCAATATCTACAGTATATCAAAAAAATTTTTAATTTAAGAAAAGTTTAAATTTTACCTTAATATTAGTATTGGCTCTCATTGATCTTTCTTTACATGGTCGTATACTACAATAAGTTTGTGGTGCATAAGCCTATAAATTTCGTTAAAAATATTTCTATTTTATGTATAAAAACACATATATAGCGTGCATGTACGAGACTGGAATAACAATATATTTTTACTTTAATTGCATTTGTATAGTCTGTTTATTTTATATTACTTCTGATTTTTTTATAATACATTCGATAAAATATTTTGAATACGAATGTATGTTCTGAAAAAGGTAAATATATAAATATTATATATAAAAGATATATATCTGTTATTTAGAACTATAAGCATGCTTTCGCAAAATGCTTACGACACAAAATTCTAGTAAACTTTACTGAAGAAATAAATTCTGAATTACAATGTTTGAATACTTTTGAATACTTAAAGTATAAAAATGTAAATAAAAATAAGTAGTAAGTATGTACAAAAATAGAAATCTTTTCATTATCTTTTAATTCCTTTTTTCCATGAAAATAGCACGATATTATAAATTTTTGTAATAGCGCGGGTAGCAAGATGACGTCAAACGATGTATTAATGACGTATATTGACGTCTCTAACGTGTCAACGATAATACAGGTTTGCATTATTTTGCAGTTTGGAAAACAAGAATATAATTTTCTGTGCGCCAACCCGAATCCGCAAGTAAAAATGTTCTATTTCGTCAAGTTTACGAGAAAAATGGAGTTGAAATTCCCCACAAACATATTTTTAAAATTTCGTAGCCGATAAAGCCGATGTTCTATAGACTTCGAAAAGGGCTCAAATCTTAATGCTTAAACATTGTACTTTAATATAAAAATATCATTATTCATTTATCGCAGGCACAATCGAACGTTAGGCGTACTTTGTTTTTACAGGTTGGTGTATGCTCGCAGGATAAAGACGATCGCTCTATTGTGGCCCACTGCAAAACCATTGCATATAATAAAAATTTCAATAGTGGATTCAATACATGGGACTAAAGGTGCACTTTTGTAGTAAAAGTGTTTTATTTGTGTAAAATATTTTTGAGAAGTGATGATTCCTCAAAAAACTAACTTCGTAATTCCATTGTGCGAAAAAATTATGTGAGTTGTACTGTAACATTTTCTACAAAATATAAAATTGTACGTAGCTTACATCTCACTCCATACTACTTGACACTGTACGACTACACCCACCCCTAAAAACAAAGTGCGCCAGAGGATGCCGTGCGGAAAAAGATTCGAGATTATTTCATATTAAAGTACAATGTTTAAGCATAAACTTAAGTCCTTTTTGAAATCTCTCGCACATCGGGTTCGTCAGCTACGAGTTTTCGAAAATAGTCAAACCGCGTTTTTGGGATATTTCACCCATAATTTTTCTCATAAGCTTTATATGATAGAGAATTTTTCTTTACGGATTTGGCGCACAAAAAGCTAGAGAAATCTACTTTTCTTTTCTAAACCATAGAAAAAAGGTAAAATTTTGCAGACCTGTGTTTGTATTATTACTATGTTTATTATTAATTATACGTCATTAATATGTTATTTAACGTCATCATGTTTGCTGTTCTTGCATTTAAGTAAAATAACTTTTGATGCAGATTCTGAATCATTGTCAAATTGTTTGTGTCACTTTTAGATGCTATAATCGGTGATTTCTTCAAACCTTTTTCATAATTTTCGAGATACGTATGTATTTTCGAGATATGAGTAATCTCTAAAGAGGCGCGAACAAGTCAAAGTCCCCGTATAATAGATATCTTTTCAAATAACGAGGCATCTTACGTAGCTGCCTCCTGAAAGAGGGAGTAGATGAACAGCGGGAGCGTACCGAAGCTAAATCGTCGATAATGAGAATTCGGCGCCGAGTGGAATTATCCTCGAGTGCCGCCGCTGCTGTCGTAAACTGAAAACGGCTTTCAGTACCCAGATAGAGAGACAACTTGCGCCAGTTCTATCCCTATTAAGGAAAAACCCGTCCGAAAAGAAATTCCCGTCTTCGCATGCTATTCTTGACACTTGTCGGATCGGATTGGGAAATCACCGCGGCGATCAAGATTTTCGCCGTGTGCCCTGCGTTTAATTTTCTCCCTGTAGTAGTAAGAGGAGCGATAAAAGAAACAGACTCGCGCACGTAGCGTGCGATTTTATTGTTCCATTTATAAACGTACACGAAAAGAAAAATATGGACAACTAAACATAATTTGCTGTGTTATCCACTGTTTCTTTGCTGCAGGAACCAATTTTCTTGCTAAAATAACAAGAAAATCTGCTCCTGCAACAAAAAAAGTAGCTAAAGCAGTAAATTATGTTTAGTTGTCCATCTGTAGCAAATTTGCTGCATTAGTCATTTGGCTTGCTGTACGAGCAGAGTTTCTAGTTATCATAGCAAGGAAATAGATTCCTGCAGCAAAGAAAAAGTAGGTAACACAGCGAATTATGCTGTCCATATATAGCAAATTAGTTTGCTGCTCCTTTTTCTTTTTTTCCGTGCATTTTTACCTTCCTCGTTTATACTACCCGCGATTATATATTTAGTTATCAACTTGTTTACAAAAATATGCTTGTTTCACTATTACAATAAATACGCGAAGAAACGTAGGAGATAATAAACGAACAGGAGTGTTACGCGATCGCTAGTAGGAGAAACGTGGCGCAAGCGCGAAGAGCTGCCATCCTACAACGCGTACGTTTGTTTTTAATTAATAAATAAAGCACGGCAGACATATCCACTGGGATCGGCTGAAATTTACTGTATCGGCCGATCGGCGATATCGCGTACAAATACGCGTAAAAATAACCCGACCCGCGCTCCCCTCCGGAACGCATCACTTCACGCATCCGTGTAAAACGCGCGTTTTATTTTTACGATTGGGCCGTTAATAGATGCACTACATCAAGTTCGACCGGGTTATTCGCGTGCGTTCGTGCCGGCGGTCGTTAAACGGGCGCGTTATGAATTTTGCAGTCGATCCTGCGGATCGATGTTAGGGGCGAGTTGCATCCTCCCTCTTCCTTCGAATCGTCCCCACGTCTTTCTGCCGCGTAAGATTTTCATCTCAAAAGCGAGCCTCGACGGCGCTACGAATGACGAGTGTGCACTTCCTGGTGGCAATAAAGCCTCCATGTTGTTTTCAAGTCGCGCGCCGATAGCCGGAGCAAAAAGCTGCAAGTAGCGTCTCAAGAGAAATTTAAACTCGAAATTGCGAGGAGGAATTGAGCTCGCCTTTGACCGAACTCTCCGCTGAATTGGCGCGCAGTCGGATGTATACCGAACGTCTTGCTTAGTATCGTCTCATCAATCTCGACGTAATTCAATTTCATTTGCGCGAGCACGCCCGCCACGTTAAAGTCCGCGCGCGTTTACGGCCTTTGATCAGTCGCAGAAATTAAATAACAGACGTAATGTCGAAGCCAAGGGGCTTATAGAGAGGGAAAGGAGGGAGACGGTAGAGAGGGTTTATGTGATGATCGGCGCGACGTGAGTAAATGTCACGTGCGAGAGGATACCAACGTGGATCGCACCACGCCGGAGTTTAAAGGGACAGTAATCCCCTTTCATCAGATTCGCGAACCTGTATCGTCTCGGACGCGGCGAGCCTTCCTCTCCGCGCCCCGAAACCGGCGCGGATGATTTTTTTAGAGCGCGGCTTCGGCAGATTAAGGCTACATCGCCGTCTCGCGCCGCACGGATCATTAATCAAACGCTTTTTGCGAGCCCGACTGACCGGCCGTTCCACGCGGCCGCTGATAGATGCACGCGCGAATGGCGTAAAAATTTACGATGCCTCGAGGACGTGGACGCCGCTTTTCTCGTTCCTGTCTCGTCGCGTTTGCGCGGCTTACAGCGCGGTGATAACTTCTTTTTTGCTCGGGACGTCGTCGCCTGTCAGAGGGGCGGCGGGAGATGTCTTTGGGACGCGTCCCGCATAGTCGTTGTCGTTGTTATCGACATCGTCGATGACGTGGCCGCCGTGGCGTTCTACGCCCGAGCGGCTGGCATTCTTCGTTTCCGTCGCACGTCCGAAATGAAGGGTGCGACGTAGGCGACGATAACATCTCTATGAGGGCGCCTATGAATTTTTATCCGATCCGCCCGCGGCTAAGGGCCCACGGGACTGAGGGACAGGGAGAATTGCGGTGATCCTTGAAAAAAAAAAGTAGTTTCCCGGCCAGTTACGCCACGCAGCGATAAAAGTTACCGGCGGCATTGCGCCGTAACGAGGAAGACGTCTTCGCGATTCAGACCGACTAACTGGAACGATTTGGTCAAAGGGACGTGGCTCTT